GGCCCTTGCGCTTGCCAGGGAAGCGCTTATTCTACTGAGCCATCTCCCCGGCCCTTCTGACCATTGAAGAATCCATGAGTTTTTGAAGGCAGTCTTTTATTTGACCAGAATCTTGTGGGTTGGGGAGCAACGCTGTCTAGAAACCGTGGAGATGGAAGGGATTACCCAACATCAAATGCTACAGTCAAGTGAAGTTAGCCCAAAAATAAACCACATTGTGAATGCTGTTGTAAGCATTCTAGATGGAGCCGCGGCATATGTAAGGAGCTGTAGACTATGCTCAAGCGTGGTTATTCCAGGGGTGTTGAGATGGTTTAATAGCAAGTTTGTGAACATAATTCATCCTGTTGTGTTATCAGGGAAATTCAATATATTTGGTAAAGTTCAATATACATTTAAGTCATAAATTATGAAGAAAAAAGAATAAACACAATCTTTTTTTCGGTAGGGGGATCAAACCTAGAATTTCTCATATGCTAGGCAAGTGCTCTATGTCTGAGCTAATCCCCAGCGCCAGCAGAACAGTCTTGTTCTCCCCAGGACAGGCAGCCCTTATGCCCCACCAAGACTCAACACTGTCCCTCCTAGTGAGAGACTGAAATGACTCTGCAGGGTGCTGTCAGGTCCCGAGAGCAAGACAGGGGTGTGGCTCTCCTTCCTGCTATCAGTAGGGTGTGTTCACTGCAGAACGTTGGGGCAAAAAAAGTGGTATTTCTGAAACGGGGAAAAAGAGGGAAATTAATACTATTTACAACTGTTGGGATTGTTCACATGGGATATTTAAGGTATCAACTTCACACTCATTAGCAGCGATATGAAAGCTCAGCAGAAAGCTCCAGATCTTATACAGGTTTGTAAATTTATCCTATGAACTACAGTGACAAAGGATCGTACTAACAATATGGAAAAACCCCAAAGCAAGTGTAAAAGGAAATCTGCAGAACATATACTAAAATTCTTAACTCTCTTAAAGGACATTTTAAAAAGACCGGTAAATAGAAATGTGTATCTTTGTTTTAGGGAGTAAAACTCAAAAATCTAAAGACTTCAATTTTTCTAAACCAATCTGTCAATTTCCTGCAAGTAATTTGATTCAAAAATGCCAATCGATAAATCTGATGTAACTAATTTGATTCAAATAGAGTAAGGACATAGGAATACCCAAGTGGGGCCTGGAGAAATGATCAGAGGAGGAAGTGAGAGAGGCAGCATCCTGATCCGGCCATGGCAGCTGCCCAGAGTGCAGCTCTTTGCTGCTGGGGCAGAATGAGGCCATCGCATCTGGACACAGCCCGAGAGGCTGGTGGTGGCTCGGGGCAGGCTCCTCCAAGGCACTGCATAAGGCCAAAGCCCTGAACAGATACAGTTTCAAATCTGGAGAGCCCCGGATGAGGCCTGGGGAGTCTCATATCCTCGGGCCCTCCCACTCCTCCACGAGCCCACCCAGGCATCCACATTAGGCCACAGTGCTCCACAGTCGCCTGCAGAACCCAGCCCTCATTCCCCCAGGACCTTCCTGGTGGAAAGCTCCACCTAGTGTTGATTCTCTAGACTGAGACATCTGAGGGAAAGTGGAGGAAGCGACAGTGGTGCTTTATGGGAATGA